CAAGCACGGAGGTGGAGCTTTGGGCCTGTTTCTCTGCTAAAGGTACAGGCTGACTTTGCTGCATTGAGGGGCCAATGGACCGGGCCATGTATTGTAAAATCTTGAATGAGAACCTTCCCTCAGTCAGAAACTGAAAATGGGTCATGGATGGGTCTTCCAGCATGACAATGACCCAGAACATACCACCAAGGCAACAAAGGAGTGGCTCAAGAAGAAGCACTTTAAGGTCATGGCCTAGCCAGTCTCCAGACCTTAATCTTATAGAAAATGTATGGAGGGAGCTGAAACTTCGAGTTGCCAAGCGACAGTCAAAAAAAAATTTTAAGGATTTAGAGAAGATCTGTAAAGAAGAGTGGACCGATATGTGCAAACCTGGTAACCAACTACAAGAAACGTCTTACCTCTATGCTTGCCAACAAGGGTTTCTCCACCAAGTACTAAGTCATGTTTTGCTTGGGGATCAAATACTTATTTTACTCACGGAACTGCTACTCAATTTATAACATTTCTATCGTGTTTTTTCTGTATTTTTGGTTGATATTCTGTCTCTATCATTTAAAATGCACCTACGATAAAAATTATAGACTTTTCATTTCTTTGTAAGAGGGCAAACTTGCATAATCTGCAGAATCAAACATTTTCCCCACTGTATAACAAATATAAAATAAGTGATATTCCATTTTGGATACAGCAAAGGAAATACATTTTGAGCCCTGGTTCACACCAAATGTAGCTTTGAAATCGTTGTACTTCAGCACAATTTCAAAGCCGACGATCAGTGCAACTTCATGTGCGGGTTGCCGCCATCTCAGTGACTTCATGCACAGGTGTCCTGGCAAGTTGCACATGAAATTGCAAAAAATTGTGCAGAAACCTTTTTCAAAGATGTTGCAACCGATTTGAACAGCACCATAGCCGCAAATAGGGTGTGACTGGTCATGAGACTTTGATCTGTCAAGTTGCTTGACATATTGCACCAATGTGAACCAGGGAATACAGTATTTGGATGTTGCCAGAATAAGCTTTCCTTGAATGAAGATCAGCATATGTACGGTGAAATTCTGCTGCATGTTTTGGAGATTGTGTTACACCCCAAGCCCAAGTGCCCAAGCTCTCATAACCTTCCAAAGACAGTTGGCATAGAGGATATACCTGGCCACCCTTGTACTTTTGCAAACTGCAAACTTCTCTAAACTTAGATGTCATATCAAGCAACCATTTAGGTATACAATATGCAGTAGCAGGGCAGCATTGCAAACGGCTCCAGCACCAGCTTTTCAGTGGGGGTAAATAGCAATCCAACAAGATTTTTAACCCTGTCTTACCACTGTCCCCCCCCCAACATGTCTTGGCTTTAGCTCATAGCCTCTGCTGCTGTCTGGCCTTTAGTCTGATGAAATAATTGTTTTAGAGAACCTGCTGGAAGAAGAAGGATTTTCTGATTGTGTGCTCTAGGCAGTACAGTCTGCTTGAGACAGTTCTTACATAAGGCACAATAATAAATGTGCTAAATTTGTATATAAAGACCACAGAAAATGAACTAGGGCACCAGTTATGGGGGCACCCAAGCAGGCTCGCTCCTGAGCTGTTGCTCTGCATGTCCATTCACAAAGTCACAGCTTGACCCCACCCCCTCCTTCTCATTGGTTTACTGGCTGTAACTGACAACAGGGGGGAGCCAATGGCTCTCTCAGCTAATGAGAAAAGCCCATAGTAACCAGATGTTGATTCTTATGACCCCTGAGCCATATCCAGCCAACTGCAAGATTTTTCCAGCCCTCTGATGTAAGAGGGGACTCTGATATAAGGGGGCTATGATGACATCTCTGAAATAAGAGGAGCTCTGATGTAAGTGGAATTTTGGTGGAGACTATGACATAAGGAGGCTGTGATAGGGACTCCGATATAAGCAGGGGGCTCTGATGGACTTTAGGCATATTTGGAAGTTCTTTGCTTTGTTTACTGAAGTTTTTTTACTAAAGTAGTTTTAAAAGCTGAATTTTTTACCTTAATGCATTCTATGCATTAGGGTTAAAATAAATCTGCATGCAGCTCTCCCCAAGCACCCCTCCCCATACTTAAGCATGATCTCGATCCAGCACTGTGCGTGAGAGCAGAGACTTATCCTCTTATCGGCTCAGAGACGGCAGCGGAAGCCATTGGCTTCTGCTGCTGTCAATCACAGCCGGTGAGAAGGGGGCTGGGCTGAGCTGTGCTCTGTGTCAACAGGCACACACAGCTGGCTCAGGAGCAAGCCCACGTGAGTGCCCCCATAGAAAGCAGCTTGCTTTTGGGACACTAGGCAGTTGGGAGGAGCAGGAGCGCCAGCAGGTAAGTATAATATGTTAATTTTTTAAAAACAAAATGTGTTCCTTTACAATCACTTTGATTTTTTATTTATAAAACTATATCTTTTTTGGGCCCTTAAGTATGTGTAAAATATACCATTTGGCCCTTGTACTGAAAATTTTAACCCCTGGGTTAGAGCATGAAAGATGAAATTTGGCTGCTATGGGCACTGACTGGGGTGGATTTGTATTCTGTGGCTGGCATTGCCTGTGTTCCCTTCAGTATGTGAATGTAAAGGCACTTTTCGGTGAAATCATCAGTCAGTTCTATTTGATGTTTCTCTTTAAGCACAACAGTTTTCCTGGCTAGGTAGAGAAATATGAAGAGTGGTGTGCTCGGTTACAGGTTTGATATAATCAGGAAGTTTAATGACCCATTTCCAGAAACCATTAGACTGAACTACCCTTGTTTACCAATGGAACAAATGAGTTCCAATCCAGTGTGTGTATGGGCAGGTATATGCTCTTATTCACATGTGTAGACAATAGTTAGCCACCTTATTCTCATTCTGACCCTCCCATTCTAACATCCAAAGGCCAAACCCTAACATTTAAAGCATATACTGTATATAATCCCTATCGCAAACAAACAAAAGGATTTTGCTACAACACTTATCAACCAGCCTGCAAAACAACCAATTTAGCCCTGTCTAACCATTTGCGTTAAAAACAGAGGGTTTTGTTTGCACTCATTTGCAAATACATGCATACGCCACAGTCCCCCTGTCAAGGGTCCTCTGTATAATGTGGACCTAACTAAAATTTCCAAAGTCTCCATAGTAGGAGCACATGTATCAATGGATAGGTTAAGGGCAGGTGTGCCTGGAGGATCCCATCCCTTCTTAACCAATCCATTGATACATGTGCTCCTACTATGGAGGCTTTGGAAATTTTAGTTAAGTCTACAGTATAAAGAGGACACGCTGGACTGTGGCTTCCGCATGTATTTTTCAAATGTGTGCAAACAAAACCCTCTGCTTTTAATGCAAACTGTTAGGGTTAAATTGGTTGTATCGCAGGCTGGTAAGTGTTGCTGAGAAATCCCTTTTGTGTGTTTGTGATGTGTATTGCCCTTCCACGTGCACCTTACTGCTAAGGCTAGTTATAGGTTGAGACGGTTGCCATTTTTTGTGTATATACGGTAATCCTCAGCAACAAAATGTTTTTAATTTTCACTTTTATGGTTATTTAACCTCTTGCCCCCATGTTATTGATATGTCGGTGGCAGAGAGAGTGAGGTTTAATGAACACATGGGCAGCAGAGGTTTCGGTTCTGAGTGTGCGCTCACCGACAAAAACTGCACTCGGTCTATTCTAATGATTGGGGACTGCTGGGACCACTCCCGATCATGTGACCAATGATAGCCAATCAAAGTGGTCACATTAGGCAGCCTTCCCACCCCCGTACATATTAGCCAAGTTAAATGGACGCTGGGGTGGGTAGGAGGGGTTAGAGCTGATGTTTAGTATTTGGGTTTTTGGAGAATACAGGACCATACACATAGTTATATTTAATGGTGTGTATTCCATTTCCTGCAGATTTTAACTTCTGCCGCAAATCAGCTGTGACTGGCGAGAGAAGACCTGTCAATCAGCTGCTGTACCACCTACTCATGGAATGTGATTCCTTGTGGGATTGTAGTTAGATGAGTTCTGTGAGTTGATGAGGGGGTGGGCAGCGCAATTTTTCTGTGCAGCCGAAGCTGCAGTTAACATTTTTGGTGTCAAAAGACAGCCCACTGAGAGTGACATCTGCCTTTAAGGAGGCCCAGAGGGGAACATTTGTAGCAGAAGCCAACACCTGCAAGTATTTGGAATACATCATTACACATACCTAATGTGTAGCAAGCTATGTCACCTTAAAAAATGTATACTAAGCTTTAAAATTATATTAAAGGCATTTTAAAAAAAAAACATAAACAAACATGTTATAATCAGGCATTGGTTTTGCACAGCGCAGCCCCAATTCTCCTATTTTTGGGTCCCCCGCCAGCGCTCCTGGCCCCTTCCTCCTGTCGAGTGTTCATTTTGGGGGCACCCAAGCAGGTCGCTCCTGAGCCGCAGCTTGACCCCACCCCCCTCCTCCTCATTGGTTTACTGGCTGTAACTGACAACACGGGGGAGCCAATGGCTCTCTGAGCTAATGAGGAGGGAGAGTCCCCGGAGAGCCGAGGCTCTCATGCACATCACTGGATCATGATGGGGCTAAGGTAAGAGGGGAGCTGGGGTGAGAGCTGCATACATACAAGGTAAAAAAAAACCTTGAGCTTTTTACTTTAAATATACAGTTCAGAGTGTTTTTTTATTTATCTATTCTATGAGTGCAAAAGAAAAAAAATCCCTGTTGATTATTCCAGAAATCCAGTGCTTTCCTGCATTATCTCCAACAGTATAATCAGTAAGTGTTCAAACAATAGAACAATTGCTACATATGGAGATGAGGAGAGAAGTGTAGTAGTAGTGTTCTATAGTGCCAACACACTTCCTGTGACAGTGCTGCATCCCCATAGATTCTGCATAGTGACTGAGTGTCATCACTCTAGGACAGGAAGTGTGTTACTGGCAGGATCACCAGGTCAAAATAAAAGAACAAAAGAAAACAGATCATTCAAGCAACAAGCTACAGTAGACATGCACTTGGAATACGTACATGGGAGCTGTTTCACATGCCATAGTAGTTGTATATTTGTCCATCCAGTCCATATTTACACAGATCTGACACATAGCACAGCCTTGTCTAGCAGGTGAGAGGATCTTCTGATCTTTTTCTGCTGCGGTTTCACTTTTACTTACTGGTCACCACCTTCTTCACCTGATGCTCCCAAATGTACCATTTCAATTGAACCTGATTTGATTTAGAGGAAGTATGATTTATCATCCATTTTATTTTGTAATGTGTGCAACCATGTTAAAAACACTAGGCCTCATTTTAGAAGTTTGTGTAAATTTTATTTGGTTGACAGGGGCAACAGCAGTCATTATTGGAATTTGTCAGCCTCTGATTGGTGTCTGTGGTCATAACAGAGGTTTTGTCACACCACTCTTAAATGAACTGTGTCAATTTATTTTTTAGGGATCTCGGGAGAAAAGGTGGAGATTGACCCAGTGACCAACCAGAAAACAAGTACAAAATTTTGGATCAAGCAGAAACCAATCTCTATTGATTCGGATTTGCTTTGTGGGTGTGACCTTGCAGAAGAGAAGAGTCCAAGTAAGTAATGGATACAAAATTAAGAAAAAAAACTAAGGTTGAGTGTATTAAAGTGTATGTATAGCTGAAACATATTTTATATTATTTAAAAAAAAATTTGGATAGAGTAGGGAAGGGTCAAGTTTTACTGCTGTTTGTGTCCCCACCAGGTAAATTTACCTTTATGTTTCTATTGAGAGAGACTGAAAGTGATGGGAAATTCAAGGGCTTGGATTTGTTACAAAAACAGGCAGTGAGGGTAAATATTTTCAGCGACAGCCATCTAAGAATGTAATTCCCCTCTTGCTAATGGTTTCCTCTTGCTTCCAGTTGCATCCCGTTAAGGGTACAACTCTTGGGCAACTGGCAGTAAAAAAAGAAAAAACTTTAAAAATCCAACATTTTAAAAAAGATATGGCTGGTTGCGTATTTATTATTGCCATGCATCAAGGGATCTTATTTTACAAATGGCATCTTGCAACTTCAGAGTTGAAGCTCTGGCATTGAGTAACAGAGAGAGGCGTTCTTTGCAGAGGAAAGGTACAGGATCTCCATCCTGAATGCCAGTATTTTTTAGTACGAACCCAAGGTTCTGCAGCTCCTGGGTGCTCAGGTTAATAATAAAAAAATATACACGCAAAATTTTATCTCACTGATTGAGTCGTGGCGCCATCTTTTATTTGTCAAGCAAAGTTGCTTTTTGATTTGCCAGGAGTAAGTATTGTTGCTTCTGTGGTTCCGATTATTTTGCCAGGTCCACCTGTTATACTGTACATAATATAAAAAGCTCACCAAGAACATGCACATGTGAAATACTATAAGGATAAATGTATATGTTTGGAGTTGGCAATGAATTGAGACATTTCTGCCTGTACTGTACTACCTGTGCATGAATGTGAGTTACCGCAGTGCTGGGTGCAGATCTGAACACATCCACAATTCAGGAATGTAGTTTTGTCCTTTTTTCATTTTGCTAATTTACAGAGCTGCGCTTACATTCAGTGTTCCCTGAGTAATTTGGCAGGGAGTGGGGTAATATAGTAGGGTTGCCACATCCTAAATGTAAAATTCTTTGGAAACAAAAAACAAGGTACCCAATACACAATTGTGAATGATATCAATAAAATGGTATTCAAAACAAGGATAAAAAAATACTAAATTATATGTTTTTGATGTATTGTACATTGTCACCCTAGGGCAGGGGTGGGCAAACGTTTTGACTTGAGGGCCGCAATGGGTTCATATATTGGACCCGGGGGCCGGACCAAGAGTAGATGAATGATGTGTATGTGTGAATTAATATAAATTAAATTAAAATTTGTAACATTAAATTTTTAGATTAATTTAAGGTAGAAAAGCATAAAAAGAGTTATTTTACAAACCTTTTATGCCCCCCACTAGCTGCTGGCCGGCCCAGCCACTACCATGCCATCCATAGTAAGTATAGTAATATTCCCCCATAGTAAGCATAGTAATTAATTATAGTAATTCATCCCCCCATATAGTAATTCATCCCCCATATAGTAATTCATCCCCATCCCCCATATAGTAATTCATCCCCCCTATAGTAATTCATTCCCCATATTAATTCATCCCCCATATTAATTGATCCCTCATATAGTATTTCATCCCCCATAGTACTATTCCCCCCCAAGTAGTAAGCCAAGTCCCCCCTGTGTCAATTTACTTACCTTTGCTCCGCGCGTTCCTCTCGCCGTGTTCCCGCGCCCGTTCCGGTCTTCAGGGCGGACTGTGAGAGGAGGCTAGCTCCCCTCACGGTCGTCACGCTGCCCCGCCTACACACATCCTGACAGCCAATGTTTGCCTGCCCTGGCTGGTTTTTTTTTTTATCACGCTCCGCGGGTCAGATTAAAAGGTCCGCCGGGCCGTAGTTTGCCCATTGCTGCCCTAGGGCCTCATTATTCCTGCTAGTTTAAACAAGATATGTCTATTTAGTCTAGTAGCCTTTTGATTTAGTATTTTTTTTACTATATTGTATTTAACAGATTATGTAGGGATTGGAACGCAACTTCAACGTGAAGAAGCAGAACACTGTCCCATGAGAATAACACAATCAAAAACACATATTTTCAGATTTTTTTTTATCCTTGTATTGAATAAAAAATTATTATTTTTTTCACTATTGTTTGAGTACCTAAAAAGTTGTTCTTTGGTTTTATGTTTCATAAGAATTAAGTGTCCCATGCCATAAACTGTTCATAGAACTGTCTACAGCAGGGTAGACAGTTGTTGTCATCTTTCAAAGAGCATACAAAAGGAGTGGGTATGAAAATCTCAGACCTTCTCATTCATATAAGAGCATCTTACAGTAAATAAGTAAAAGCGATACACCTTTTAACATTTGCAGGAGATGAACAATGGGAGCTGTATTTACCCCACCAACATAGATTTAGAACTGAAATATCAATTTTGGATTTACTGTCCCTTTTAATACACAGTGTTCACTAATCAGCCATTACTTTTTGGTCATCCACCTAATATTGAGTAGGTCCCCCTTTTGCCACCAAAACAGTCCTGACCCATTTAGACATGGACGCCGCTAGTCCTCTGAAGGTATGCTATGGTATCTGGCACCAGGCTGTCAGTAACAGATCCTTTAAAGTGTTACTAAACCCAGGACTATATCTGGTCTCCCACAGTACACACAACATGGAAGTGCAATTATTTTAGTAAATATAAACTACTAAATACCATTTCTCAACAGCAGTCATGGAATACCATTTCCACTCATCAGCAACAATGGTAGGTGGTGCGTGTCAAGTAACATCCAGATGAATGGCAAGACCCAAGGTTTCCCTGCAGAACATTGCCCACGGCATCACACTGCCTCTGCCGACTTTTTATTAGCACTGATCACTGTATTGGTGTCACTGGGGATGTCAGTGACACCAAGTCAGTTCCCCCCAGTGTCAGAATGCCCACCGCAGTCCCGCTATAAGTCACTGATCGCCGCCATTATATATACATTGTATAAAAAAAAAAAATTCCAGTATATATACCGTCCATTTGTAAACTTTCACGTAAACCAATTAATTTACACGTATTGGGATTTTTTGTTTTTCAGCAAAGATGTAGCAGAATACATTTTGGCCTGAATTTATGATGAAATTTTTTTTTTTTTTTTTACTGGACATGTTTAATAGCAAAAAGTCAAAAATGTAGGTTTTTTTTTTTTTTTTTTTCTTTTCAAAATTGTCAGTCCTTTTTTGTCTATAGCGTAAATAAAAAAATAAAAACTGCATAGGCGATCAAATACCACCGAAAGAAAGCTCAATTCGTGATAAAAAAGGGCGTAAATTTCATTAGGGTGCAGTATTGTATGACTGCGCAATTGTCAGTTACGCAGCGCCGTAATGCAAAAAATGGCCTATACAGGAAGGTGGATAAATCCTCTGGAGGGCAAGTGGTTAACACAAAATTGCCAGTGCAACACACACTCCACTGCATTGTCCTTCCCATTGTTATATTGCTGTTAATGTTCAAGGAACTACCTTTTACTTACAGGGCTCCTTTGTTAGGCTTTGGCCTGCCTCTTCTTGCTAAGGAGGGATTCATTCTCCCTGCTTGTTTCCAGACTGCCCTTTCCACAAGTTTGAGTGCGATTTTTATCAGTCTGTGATATATGTCTTACTGCTTACATAAAAAAAAATGAATCCTGGGGTCCTTCTTGAATGAATTATGAGGGAGAAGGAGAGGATGGGGAACAGATAAGAGTTCAGACTTGTGCAATATATCCTCTTTCCTGTGTTTTATCTCTGGTAACACAAGCTGAGACTATCTTAGTGCAGGGAGATATTATAAATTGTACTTATGCAAGCAGGCAGAGCAGGGTCAATTGTATGGCTGTCAGAATGAAGATGTCAGCCCAATAAGAGATGGCTGCCTGGTTCTGTGAGCGGACTCTTAGAATCCTACTTATGTAATGGCCCATCATTTTCAGCTTGTCCTGCAAGGTCACTTGCCCTTAGGAGTTAGCATGTTGTTCATTTTCTCTAACCTTGAATGAATACTGTCTTATACATGTGCTTCAAGAGCTTGCACACTTCAGGATTTCCATTTTTTTATTGGGAATCTGCCCATCGTCTTTGTATCCCTGCCCTTCTCACAACACCCTCTGTCTCACAGTGAATTATATTGCCGGGCCCACTCCATTCATTCAGATTTTATACCAAATGACATTGCATGTTAAATCTGTAATTGCATTTCCTCTTTGCAATGTGTGTGTATATACATGTGTATATATACACATTTTGTGCTACTGTCACAGCACAAATGTAATATCAGTAAGTACATATGCTAGCATTTCCAGGGGGAAAATATACAGAAGTCATTCAGTGGATATGGCAATAATGTGATTGTATCAGTCTGCCGACCCCAGAATTGCTACTATTGAAACATTAGCCTTCTAAACTCACACTATTATGTGCCCCGTGAGTTTCACTCTCCCGAGTAAATCAATCAGCATCCTCTGCGATTCCTTCTGTGGATCTGACAGCCAGGGCTATCTGCCTTGGAAATAGAGTGGAATTGAAAGTGCTACATAATTACTTTATTTCCCAAAAATGATGGCCTAGCGTTAAAGGTTTTATCTAACGACTTGGCTACCCAAGACCTTTCAATTACGTCATCACCAGATCAAACCACGCAGGGCATAGCTGCTACCTAGAGGACCATATATATTCTATGGAAGATTCAGACAAAGGTTTTATCTTGCACAAAAGCCATTTATACTGTCACCCCTTCACAGACTAGGGAAGATGGAGAAATAGAGTATTGCGGCACACCTTATTTGTTTTAGAGCAGGCGTGCCTCAAGTTGGATCTACCAGGAGATAAGAAAAAAACAGGTATTGGCAAATCAGAAAATTCAGTTACAAGTAATCTGTGTTAGATATGTTTTCTTTTTGATTTTAAAAGAATCATATTTCAGAAAATCTTTGATCCTATAGAAGCAGCAAACAAAGTGATAGATTATAGTAGCTGTTCTTGAACACGTCTCGCTCTTCTACAAGACAAAGTATAGACACATTCAGCCATCTCTTCATCTTAAGAAGGGGGTCTTCTGCTGCAAGGCCCTTTTTTCCAGTGCCTAATCAAGTTTGCATGATACATTTTGCTACTTTTCCTGTATTTCTGGGTGGGTAAACCTTCCTTGATGCTTCACCTGTCCTAATTCATGACCACAAGCATATGCCACTTCCCTATAGCCACCTCTACCACATGCCCTATTATAGGGCTTGAAAAAGCCGCTCGCCCACACGCCAAATGCAAGGAGAAATTCCTCTGTGGCGAGCAGCTGCTAGCGGTGTGCACAGATGAAGCATAGAGCGACTGCACCTGCTCTCCAAGCCTCATTGTGAAGCCGAGTTCCGGTTTACAACTTCCAGTTTTCGGCTTCTGCGGCACCGCCGCCGAGGGGACAGGTGCAGGAGAGGTCCGCTCTCCTCCGCTGAAAGGAGACACCCTCTCCACCGCCGCGGGGGACTCGGGGGGACAGTAAGTACTGTATACAACATGTCCTATCACTATAATGAAGTACAGGGGAGCTGAGATATACATTACTCAGTAATGTATATCCCAGCTCCCCTGTACTCCATTATAGTGATGACGTATACAGTAATGAGTACAGGGGAGCTGGGATATACATTACTGTGTACAGTTTTATATTTTGGACTATTTATTCTAAAGAAAATGTAATTTCATAAGCTTTAAGGGGGTGTGGTTGGGGGTGGGGTTTGGGGAGGGCCGGGTTGGGGGCAGACCTGGGCAAAGTTGGGTGGGGCAACTGGTGGAGCGTAAGTTTTGTGACCGGCTACTAGGTCTGGACTTGAAATTTTAACCCCTGCTCTATTAGGTTCTTTACCTTTTGTCTAAAAGGGACTTTTATTACAGGCATTGAAACCAAATAGTGGGGCCAAAGCTGACATTTCTGACATGACTCCCAAAATTAATTTACAGTTAACTGAACCCCTGGTTAAAAGAACCATTGAAATATTTATCTGGTCTTCTCAGAGCTCCGTTTACCCCCTAGGGCAGGGGTGCTCAACCCCTAGCCCTCGGAGCCTTCTGATGTGGCCCTCGACCTCAAACTGAATGCAGGTGTTTTGATGCACTTTCAGTGCACCATACCCACGAGTTATAATAACAAAGCGCAGCTAACAGGCAGGAAAGCCGCAGGTGCACTGAGCTACACCTGCGCTGCTGGTAAACTGCAGCACATCAGTGTGAATGCAGCCTTACAGGACAGTAAGGGCTCATTTACATTTGCGGTTTTGGGATGGTAAAACCCAATAGTTGAAATTTTTTTTTAACTATATATATCACAATGGCGACTCTGCCTCATGCTCCAGGGGGCCTGTCATATTCTGTTTTACACTTGGACATGAGGGGTGGTGGGGGTGGCATATACAGGAACCTATCCTTTCCATTTTCCTCTTGCAACTGCTGAAAATTTCTCCTCCTCTCCCTTCTGCTGGCATTCAGCTGCTGCAAGAGGAAAATGTTCATTATGCTATTCAAAATAAGAAGTTTGAAATTTTAAACGATTTCATATAATTGTTGCCCACGACCGGTTAGCAAATCACTTAAGTGGCCCTCACTCATCAAAAGATTGAGCACCCCTGTCCTAGAGTTTATAGATTAACTTCAAGACCTTCCTTTTATAAAATTTCAGTATTAGTTGCTCCACAATTTCTCCAACAGAGGTATTCAGCCTGATTTTTTAACTCTTGCTTTAGATCAGTAAGAAAAAAAACACTCTTTTAGAGCTTCTCCAGCTCCACGAGATCTCTTGGCTGGGCAGTTCCATCAAACCTCTAGCTCCAGCATAGCGAGTGTTTTTTTTTTTTTGGTGACACCTCTGTTTCACTCACCAACACTGCCAGGGGTAATTTTTAGTTTCATCTGTGAGTTTTCAGCCTCCAGACCAACAGTTCCAATGTGCTTTTCTGCAACAGCACTTGTCCAAGCACCGTTTTGATGTGGCACCACTCATTGTGGTTTGTCCTGTTGGGTAGTAGTATTGACATTACAGACTATCCGTGATCAATTCAGTTGCTGTGATTGCAGTCCATTTATAGATTTCTCAGTAAGGATGGTCCATAGAAGCACTGTGCAACACCATGCTTTGATATTGTGTTTATAGGGGAATTGCTGCATCATGATCTATGATATTTCACTTTCTGTGAGGTCCAGCAACCATAATTAGCTTCACACATCCACATGTGACATTGCAGTTGATTTGCTAAAGTAGTAAAGCATATTTGCTTTCCAAAGTGAATTTTCAGTTTGAAAATTGAATTTTTTGTCTTTGCTTAGTAACCAAGGTGAAGCTAAATGAAAATTCACTTCACAAAGAAAACCCCAAAAGTATGTGCAAATCAATTTTTTCAAGAAAGGGTTTTTGCTTGCACATGATCAGATGACTAAAGTTTAGTACAGTTTGTACATAATTCACTATGCTCAATGAATATTAACTTTTCAAAGTGAACATGCTTTATTCCTTTGATAAATCAGCCTTCATGTGTGATTTTTGTAAGTGTTTGCTGTTCATTCAGTAAAAAGCGAATGTCATTCAAAGCATCCAATGTATTTGGACCTGGGAATTAATGGGATTGGGGAAATGGGAAAGGCTAAAGAAAAAGCGGGGAAAAAAATATATATATTTAACTCAACATGTCAGATTCTTTGTATGAAATTTGTATTTGGTATTGAGCACTGAACACTCACAAAAGTGAGCAGTGTCACAATTCTAAAAAAAAAGAAAAAAAAAACCTTTGAAACTGACACTGCTGTGCTAATTTCTGTTCATGCAAACCCCACTTGATCTCATCATATTGTTAAACTCACAGTCTACACAAAGAGGTTTTTTTTGTTGCCTTTTTTTTTTTGTGCGTCACAATGTAAATGGGAATTGGCTCTCATAAATTAAACTATGACTTTCATCTTTACAAATCTACTGTTACATAAAAGTTCCACTT